TGAGGAACCCCCGTTGCTGGAGGAGCTGGTGGAGGCTGCTTCCTACCTGCAGGTCACCCCCTTGCTCCGCTTGCTCCTCTCCCAGGTGAGGCTGGGCAACTGCTTCGAGCTGCACCGCCTGGCTCAGGTCTACGGTCTCCAGGACTTGCACGATGCTTGTCTAGACTTCATGGCCGCCCATTACCATCAGGTGCTGCGGAGGCCCGATGCCCGGCCGCATCTGCTCCTGCCTCATGCTCTCCAACAGCACTTGAAGGAGAGGCGGATGAGGGGCACCGCCACCCTCGTGGCCATCGGGGACTTCATGGGTGCCTCCTCCCTGGGCCTGCCTCCGGGTTGTCACCCTCAGGTGGAAGCCCCCTGGTCGATGCTGAGGTATGATGAGGAAGCGCAGAGGTGGCTGCCCCTGGCCAACAACCTGCCCCCTGATCTGGTGAACGTCCGAGGCTACGGGTCGGCGATGCTGGACAACTACCTGTTCATCGTCGGGGGCTACAGGATCACCAGCCAGGAGATTTCGGCTGCTCATTGTTACAACCCTTGCCTGAACGAATGGAGTCAGCTGGCTTCAATGAACCAGAAGAGGTAACGCTTACTCCCTGAAAGACACGTGTGTCCGTGTATATTGTCAAAATAGACCCTGTCGAGTCACGGGGTGTTGAGTGGGTTCCAGATTATGAGAAGTGATTCAGACCTGTCTCTGTGCCGTGAACCACCCGCCTCTCTCACATCGTTTGGCGGGAAGAACCGCAGTGCTTGCCTGTGGCTTGGCAACGTGTCACCAGACAGGCCTGGCAAACCGGGTCTTTACCAGTAACAGCCATCCCACCGCAGCACAAGGCTGCTGCTCCTTCTCCCCTGCTTAGGGACCCCCTCCGCATGTCACGGGGGAGCTGCTGTGGGTGAGGGGGACGGGACTTTGTTGCGTAAAGGCAGGTGGTTAAGGCCTCGACTGTGGGAGAACACGAGGGAGGCGTCGGCAGCTCCTCCGTGCCACAGCTCTCCGCCATGTGTGGTCATTCACCTCGGTGTGAAATGGTGGTGGGCCCCCCCTTTTCCTTTAAATTATAGTATACAAAGAGCCAGCCTCTCCAAACAGCTGTCTCACTGGTAGTAGAAGTTCTCTTTGAAATAACAAAGATTTTAAAAAAAAAAAACCAAGCCCAAAGATAAAACTCTCCTATTTTCTTTGTGGTATATTTATATTTTAACTCCAGTACTGTAAGTGACAAGTTTTCATGCTCTTAGTGGGGATGTACCATCTATCAGAGCTGGAGATGGCTGAAAAAATTTAGTTGGAGTGTTTTTTCATTGGTTTGTACTTTCATAAAAATCTGGGTGCTTTGTAGGCCTGCACTGCAGTGAAATATTCACCAAAAAAATGTCAGGCAGACTGTGAGAAATTTCTCACTTTATGAGAATATTTGGATCTGGGAATCATGCATGATTTTGACCATTTTGCTTTTTTCCTTTATCCTTTTGAATTGTTTGTTTGACATTTATGTTTAAGTTACTACTCAGAAACACTTGCGTAATTTACGTTTGAAAGAATAAGAGAGAGCTAGCCTTGAGGGGGACCCAAGAAGAGAGGCCATCTCCTCGGCCAAGGTTGTGGCTGCTCTACCTTAATCATTCTGCAGAGTTATCAAGACAAAGCCTTTTACTTCACTGAAGCAAAATGTTTCTGTTATCCAACGTGAACTTCCTCATTGTTTCTGTTTTAGAAAAAGTGTTTAAATTTTTATGTTCTCTGTCTGAAAAAGAACAAGTAAGGAGGCCAAATTCACTGTAGAATTGAAATCCTCCATCCAGTAAATTCAAAGAGCATGCAGAGACCCAAACTATTGGCATAAATGCTTTGTATCTGGGTAGTAAAACTGCAGTCTCTATTCCAGTCTCTATTTAGCTCTTGCCAGCTAAAACCCCTCAAAACAGGGGTTTGACCACCTGTTGTTTTTGTTTTTTTTTTTTCCCCGCTTCCTGTATTGTGTGAGAATTTCACTGAAATGATTGCCTCCGTAATCAGTCACGGGAATTGATCAGTAACAATTTTTTTCAGTATTTCTGCCTTCTTGGAATGGTGGTGTGAAAAATTTAATCTGTAAAATGAATGTTTAGCTTTTACATACTGCAAACACCTTTTCTTACAGACATATTTCTTAGAAACTGAGCCTATAAGCAGTCTTCACCGAGGCTCCTGTAGGAACCGAGATGTTTCAGCTGACGTCGCTTTGGCAGTCTTGCCTATGTGAGCGGGATTGAGAGAACATTGGCCTCGGTAGAGCAGGATGGTGGGGTCAGCCCACACAGCTTCTCCTATGGAAGTTAACTTAAACACAGAAGTCTCACGTTGATCAAGTTATGAGGTTTTGGCGTTGGTTTGTGTGATGGGTATAGCAAGAGATATGTTATTACGTGCGATGATTCTGCAGCATGGCGAATGAGGGCTTTTTAAAAAATGCTTTTTCAAGGTCCCTTTTTTCACCTTGCGACCTGGCTGTTCAAACTCTAGATCTGCCTTTTTTCCCCACAGGTTCCCTTTTTTCTAGGATATATAATCATGACATCTGAAATAAACACATGGATATTTTCTCCTTCTATTACTGCTTTCAGCTCTACTGCCATACCAACTTAGTCTAGAAGCCCACCACAAGTGACAGCAAGGTATTCCTTAGCATAGAATTTCACATTGGCCATTTACTGCAGAAAAGTAGCATGCAAAGGAATGTTTTGGGACTAGTCTTTATTCTCACATTTCATGGTAGTTATTGCAGGCCAAAAAGAACTCAGAATTACGTCTGCCCATAGACTGCAAAGTAGCAGCAAGTGAGTACGTTGCTCCCTGAATTATAATCAGGGGAAGTTTTTTTCATGGAAACTATACTGACCCCTTCACAAAACATGTTTTTAACAGCTTCATGGAGTCTCAAGTCTGAAGTTATTAATTGTTATTTTTTTTCTATCTAACATAACATTTCAGCTCTCTGATGACCTGCTTGACATTTCGTGGTCAGAATGCAGGAAGGGATGGCCTGTGCCTTAGGAGCCAAGAGTAGGGAGATTTTTAGGATCAAGGATTTTGCATTCAACACGAACAGCACCGATGCCTGTCTGCCGCACAGATGTGCTGCAATTCGATCTGCGGTTTGCTCAGCATTGTATTTTTAGTTTGTTATGCTGTAGTAAAATAAGCAGGGCAATTGTCCAGTGTGCTTCTTAGGAATTACAGTCATGTGACTGTCTGCCAAATGAATTTATGTCAACTGATATAATTACATTCAATGGATTAATTTTTTTACATACCTCGAGGGAGGGTTCTAGTTTCCATTGGAGTTGGTTTGACTTCAGACAACTGAGTATCTGGATTTAACCTGTATGAATGGATGCATACGTTGGCCTCAAGGGAAGGCAGAGGAGTTATGGAAATAATTGTGCTGGTTTGCTGTTAATGTAAGAAGTTCTCTGCCCTCAACAAACCTTGTAAATTCTATGGTATTTTTATCTTTAATTATTTCTATTATTGTGATATAGAATCCCAGGATGCTGGGATTCTCTACACATGCATAGATGAAATTTACTTCGAAGTAGAAGGCAAAAGCCGTCAGATGTATACTGAATACTCAGCAGTCGTTCTGGTTTAGGTTATAGCTGTTAGCTTGCTTTGTAATGTAGAGGTCTTATTACTGTAGTTTCAAATTTGTTCACAATAGGTAGCTCCTATGTATTATTCTTGTGATGCCCACATAAGCTTGAGAAAGTGTTATTCCCTATTTATGAATATACAAGGGAGAGAAAATAATTTGCTCAGGCTCATATAGGAAACCTGTGACTGAGCCTGGAATTTCTCATCATCTGAGGGCTAAATCTAGTGCTGGTCACAAGTAGTCCATAACAGATCAGAGTTTCTAGATCTCTTCATCCTAGAGATACTGCCGTACTTGGAATAGTGTCTTCAGAGAACGACCTGAACTTTTTTCTGGAAGAAACTTCATGTAAGAGTTGCCCAAGGCGACTTGCGGTCTTTGGAGACAAGCAGGTAACAAAAAACACGTTGGGGATTGTTTGAGTAATGCCCTTGAATACCTTTCCATACTTTTCTTTAAATTGATGCTGTCAGTTGAAATTTGCTGTGTAAAAATAATATACTGATAGCATTTCTACTGCATGTGCCAGTTACAGCTGTATATTCCACTTTTATTTTCCTTCAGAACCTTCTTACTCATGGCAGGTATATCTTCCAGGCTTGGAAGACCCTTGTAAACCCCTGGCTGGGATTATACACATGCACATGGAACATGGCTTTTGTGAGCAATCTGTGCCTGAACTGCTGCCACTCTGAGAACTCTTACAGGAATGTAAGAGAGGATGCTCCTGGGAAATACTAGTGGTTTATGAGACCTTCTCTTTCTGCATTTTTTAATACTTTTTTTCACTCAAAATTCCTCTGTGTTGAGGGAAAAAGTAGACTTTTCAAAAATTTTTAACTTTGAAATATTCATGTCACGTTTATCACAAATGTATTCCACGCTTCCAAAGCTAAGTGTTGGATGCAGTGTGCTCTGCAGGCTCATAAAAGAAATGTAAGAAAAAAGTGGTTCATGCAAAAATGTGAAATGCTTTGGAATTGCCTTCGTAAATGTGCTTTCCTGATTCTTTCTCTCTGTTGTAAATGCTTTAACTCTAGAGTAAAGAAGTCATCTGATTCATGAGAAATTTTGAGGTTAAAGTTGATGATCGTTTGGCAGGAAGGAATCACAGGTTAGTTAGTCCAAGCCTCCTGTTCTACAGCAGAACCAAGCTTACCTTGCAAATACATGTCTAACTTGTTCTTGAAACCCTCCAGCAATGTGGATTCCAACCTCCTTCCTCCCAGGTAACTTGTTCGCATATTTAGCCACCCCTCTGATCAGGAAGTCCTCTCTAATATCTATGATAACTTTTTCTTGTTGTATACTAAAGGAATGATATCTGTCAGGGAACGAGAAGAATGCTTGCTCTCCTCTTTATAACCACTTTCACAGTGGTCTCCTCCAGATACATCTATGGCTGTTAATGCAACGTAGAACACCACAGGGTTTTTTGCTAGTTGTTGAATGTTGTCCTGTATTCAGAAAGCTACGCACCGTGACCCCTAGATCCTTTGCATTTGTGCATTACGTTTTCCTTCCTCTGTGCATATAGTGCTTTGTCTTTATTGAATGAAAAATGTATTTTGAACTATGGTGAGCCCCCACAGCTCGCTCTTGCTTGTGTTCCTGGGGTTCCTTTCAGGGGAAATGAGGGATGTCAGAAAATAGCTCATACCTGGTCTTGTCCCAACGAGAAGGGTACGCACTAGACCTGGCATTTGGAAAGTATTTTTGATCCCCCGAGTTCAGATAACTCACTGGTGTGAGTGGAGTTATATCGCAGTTGAATCTGACAGACTGTTCAGCTCCGTTGTTTCCAAGCTGTAGTCCATGGAACAGTTGTTAGTTGTGGAGAGCTGGCTGGTTGCTCAATGTTTGCTTTCCTTGTTTCCAGCTGCTCCGACACATTAAAAGGGTGTAAAAATACACTAAATATTTCCTAATGTTCACTCTCCATAAAAACACCTGCTGTTACTGGCATGGAGAGGTGAATGGCAGAAGTTTTTCATAACAAATTGAGCCATTGTCCAATCTTTCATATAAAGTGTGCTGATGGATACTTAATGGCTACTTTTGAGAAAAAATGAACCTTATGGTTAATGTGTTCCATAAATCTGAGATGCTTCCACTGAATGTCATCCATTTTAACAAGTGTTGGAAGTGGTTAAATGACTGACACAAATGTACATGGCCTCCTTCTAGAATAATTAAAGTTGAGAGTTGTGCCGTACATCTTTCACCGGATAGTTTTCCCTGTGCTACAAGAAACAATTCAGTGATACAAAGACCATCAAGCAAAAACTGGATAAATTACCTCCATTCAGATAAAATAGTAAGAGACTACAATTAGAGGGTAACTAGAGAAGCACGTGTGAATTAAGAAACCTGAATTCTTTAACGTTCTGACATTACACACTTGTTTAGTTAAGTCATGTCCTCTGTGGCAGAACTTTTAGCATGTTTAAAAAGTGGTTAGAAGATCTTAGAATAGGGAAACTCTATCTGTGTGCGTGTGAACTCATTTTATAAGCCAAAAGTCCTGCACCACCTCCATCATAGGCACAGAGTTACAGACTTTCTAACATACTTTAGATTTTAGAGGGTTGCTTGGAAAATGTATTTACATTTTGTGGTTTTATCCCTTTGTTAATTTGTGGGTGTTTTGTTTGTTTTCCCACTGTAACTTTTAGAACAGGTACATTGCTTTGAAAATCATAATGTTTTGCAAGTAGTTACCCTCGTTTCATACCCGCTATTGATTGCCATGTTATTCTGGATTGTCTGAGATGGAAAACATAATTGCTGTAGAGAGGAGATGAACAGAGTGACCTCATCGTAAATGTCAGCAAAAAAAAATGAATAAAAAGCAATTAATTCCTTCAAAGGAGCATTTTAGTTTCCAAAGCTATATCAGGATGACAAGAACAAAATGATTCCGTCTGGAAACAAATTCTTTTTCCAAATATATTCAATAAAAAAAAATTACAGGGCAGTCTGCTGCTAGGCAGGGTTCATTTTGTCCAGACAAAACCCTGCAAAACTACTTAGCGGTAAGTTTTGAATCTTGGAACATTGCAAAGCGAAACTCATACTGCTCAGCAGACCAATGCAAGTCTAAAGCCCTACTTCGGTTTTACAGATATAACGCAGTTCCCCGTTTGGCTTAATGCTGAGCTGGTGCACTCCGATGACTTTCACCCGTCCAGTTGATTGGGATACTGCATGGTAAAATCTCAATTTGGCTCAGCAGTAGAGAAGGAAGACCCTTTCTTAGGCAAGGAGACTGTTTCTGAGGAGTGGAAGAGCTCATCTTTTATTAGACCAGCTTCCAGAGCGGGAAGGAATAGCTGAGCTTGCAAGTCCTGTATCTTCAAGTCCTCCATTTTCTTCCTACAGACTTGCACCTTTCATATCCATAAACCGTTTGTTTCTGCCTGTTATTGTCTTAAAAGTGTAAGAGATAAGGCTTCTTGCACTTCAGTGATTAGAAAGTTGCCGTTTGCCATGTGTGAAATATAACAGCGTAATGGAACAGAGTAAGAGAGAGAAGAACAGGGCATTGCCTGTGGAGTGCAATGTATTTTGTTCAGCTATGGGTGGAACATTACTTTACAGATACATCTTGCTTCAGAGGGATGGAGGATGTATTTAGTAGCTTAATGCTGAATAAAGTACAGGAGATTCTCTCTTTCTTTTGCAGAACATGATTCAATGTGTACCGCTTTAAATTTCTGTTTATTAGCGTTATTAAAGAGATTCTATATTACAGACTAAGACGAGTACACATTCTTAGGCATTCATCAAGTCTTGTTTGAAATTTCTGCAATTTTAACTAAAATAATGTCCTTGACTGTCTGTATACATAATACGTTTTTCTCTGCTAAAGGTACTTTACTAAAAGCCTAGTAAAAACGAGACATCTACTGAACACACTAGTTAACTAAACATTTAGAGCTCACACTGTGACAGATTGAAATCTAAAATAAAATATTCATCAGTCTCAGCATCAACATCATTAACATCCAGAATGTCACTGGTTACTGTCCTAAATAATTACAGTGGAATCACAGAACTTTGGCCTTGCACAGAAGAGTTCAGGTGCTGTAATATATGAATTGATGGTACGAGTTGTAAGTGATGATGAGTATGTTGGAGCCTGGATAGGAAGAACTTTCTTTCCTCTGTTTTTCCTCTACATCTATGCAAGCTATTTCAATGCTGCAATCTTTTCTTTCAGGTCCAATTTTAAGCTTTTGGCTGTAAATGGAAAGCTCTATGCCATCGGTGGTCAATCCCTTTCCAACGTGGAGTGCTATAACCCAGAACATGACTGGTGGAATTTCGTAGCATCCATGCCAAACCCTCTTGCAGAATTCTCAGCTTGCGAATGCAAGGGCAAGATCTATGTTATCGGAGGATACACTACACGAGGTAAAAAGCTTGCTTTTACTTTTTTTTTTTTTTTAACCTGAATGCTTCTGAGTCCCAGATCATTTTCTTTTTCTGGAAATCATTTGAACTGATATAGAAAGCTGCATAATACTCATTAAAACATGTAGAAATAAATCGCTGGTAGAAAATAATTGACAAATGAAACAACAAAAAAAAAATCAGCTCTGTCTTTTTTTTCAGGGCCTACATGAGCCTGGGGCTCTGTTATTCTGAGGGAGGAGACTGATGGGTACTTCAGCACCCAGCTTAGCCTTCCTTTTTTTGGATTTTGATCACACAGTAGAAAGAGAGGTCTTAACAGATACACTTTGTTTACTTTTTAAATACCTGTTTTAGAATGTCAGAAGGAAAAATATGAAGAAAATACCTGCCTGCATTAGTATTTCCCATGTTTTAACAGATGTCATGATCGTTTCACTATAGCATTTCAGTGTTTCCCAGGCAAATTCAAGCTATAGGTAAGATTTTCAGTGCTGAAATAACTTAATTGAATAATTAATCAAAAGCTTAAGCAAGAAACAACATTTTTTTACTTACTTCCTTTCTATACCCTATTTTCTGAGGATACTTTACAGAGGGAAGGATTTGAAGTTACGTTCTCTCCTGAGACTTTCTTTTTCTTGATCTGGTGAAAAAGCAAGCCGCTTTAAAAGGAACTCCCGTTTGTTCGTTCCTTAAGTACATAGTGCCATTCTTTGGGAGGAGTACCATGTTCTCAGAGTTTTAGAAGCTGATTTTTTTTCATGTCAAATGTTCAGTATTTAACAGGATTTCCTAAATTTAAATTCCTATCTCTAGGCCTTTGCCCACTTCATTTGACCATGGCAGTTTTAATTTTTTTTTTTCTGAATGGAGAATAAGATTAGAAGAGAGATCAGCTTTTACAGAAAGTACTGCAAGCAAAGCTACACTGACATTAGAACAAGCTGTCCCTTCTAGTGTCTGAGCAGATTTTAGCTCTGAATCATTTTAAGATTTATAAAAGGCACACTTTCACCCTTCATGGTTCTTGTGGTAATGATAAATGTCAAAAGCGTTTTGACCAGTCCATTCTGACCCAGAATCTGGTGGCTTCGCTGAGGAAGACCAAAGCTATCGGCATGCCTGTTGTGGTGTGCTCTGCAGTCCCAGTCCTCTGGGCATCCCCACTAAAGGACTTTATGGGGTGAATTATACTCCCCGATGTCCGGCACTAGGACTGAAAGATGTCTGGCACACACAACGCTTGCTGTGCTGAAAAGTCAGACCCGAGGGGAAATAACCTTTGAGACAAGAAAGCAGAGAACAAGCAGAAGGGACTGAAACAGAGGAGTGGGAAGACTTGTCTCTAGAGACCAGAGTTAGGGTTTTGTCATTTTTATCTAGAGAAAGAGAAAAAAGAGGTAAGAAGAAAAAGCTCTGATTTGCCTAATAGTAGTACCAGCTTAGTTCCAGCTTTTCTCCTCCATCCCCTGCACTTTACAAGTTCTTTTTCTGGTGCCTGTGTGGTTCTTTCTTCAGGCTGCGTGCTGGTGTCATGGATAGGAAGATCAGCATGCTGCTGATGCTGATCCTGTTCCCTTAAAATTAATTAACAAAGCGTGTGTAGTTGTGTAGTCAGGATCACTGCCTTGTGTTGAGCTCCTTATTTGGTACTTGTTACCTGTGGTTTCAACTGAAGGAGGATAGTCAGTGAGTTAGCTCTTGCCTTTTCCACACCTCAGGGGATTGCCACTGACCTTCAGGCCTCTGTCTTTTCTTGGATCTTTTCCTCGGTCTTTCTCAAAACCCCGTTTTTAATGGAAACAGGATAGTAAAACGGTATAAAGTTTTGAGCAGTGGATAACTAGCACATTTAGGCTTATGTTTAAATCCAAGACAGTTCAGGACAACAAACGCCTGTGCTTGTTATAAATAAAGATCCTTTCCTGAACAAGGGTCTAGAATCAGTTTTTGTCTGACACCTTGACTTAGGACAGCTATCAGACTTAGAAATCAGAATTGCCACAATTACACTGGTGATTCACCTTCCAAATTAACGCAGATGTCGGGGAGTGTTAAGGCCTATTTATCTAGGAGATGCTGAGGTTCATTTGCTATTTCCCTATATTCATTGCATAAAACACATGCAGCAATTAATATGGACATTTTTGTTTTATTTTGTTTTTAGGATTTCTGTGTATACCTCAGTTTTAGTAGGTTTTGTGGGCTTTTTTTTTTTTTTCGGATCTGTGTCGAGCTTTCTTCTCAGACTGCACTTTCCAAAAGATGGTAGGATCTGGAATTTCCCACTGTAAATTATAATAACACTTCTTGAATAAGCGTTCCTTATTGTGAACCCTTCTTCCAGTTCTCAGCTCTCACTTGTGAACCTAGATCCTAATAGAAACTCTGTGTCAGACACTAAATATTCATGTTTTGTGTTGGGGATTTTTTGTTTCAGTGGATATAAAAGACCCAGGCTCTGGACTGAGCAAGTGAGGGCCATATCGCAATAGACTTCCATTTCATGTGTCCCCTCTTAAACCATAGCATAGACATAGAGACTTAATTGGGATTTCCCCCCCCCCCAAATGAGTTAGAGAACGGTACGTTGTTTGTAGACAAAGATCATCTATATGTAGAGCTTTGATCAGCAATTTCATAGAGTGTTACCATGATATTTTCCCTCTTTTTTTCCTTTATTTAAAGGGGATTAGGTGTTCAAGAAGACAATGTAAAGTAATAGACAATGACTGAAAATCATCAGAGTGCAAGCAAATGCTATAGCAGCACCTCCCTAATCATGCTGCTAATGCACTTCATTCATGACAATCCAGTTATATTTATGGCTATTTATGCCTGCATCCATACGTAACTTGTCAGTACGTCCCTGGCTGCCGTTCCGCTTGGGAGCTCATCTGGAGATCGTCATGGAAGATAGACTCGTAATATGGAGCAGATTTTATTAAAAGACCAGGCTGGAATCTGAAAACCTGTTGCCACTTGTCACTTAAGTTTGGATTTAAGCTCAGGTCTCCAGAGATTAAAACTGAATTTACTAGCTAACGAGTCCTGTGCGTTCTGTGTTAATTTATTGACGCCTTGGACACAGCCAGGGTCTCCACTGCACCATAAATCAGGGTGGTGGTGTCAGAATTTCGTAGAATTCATATTGCATATGCATGCATCCACCGAGTTGTAACTGAAGTACAGATATGGCTTCAGCTTTTTTCTGTGCCTCTCTCTGATGCAGGAGCACGGGGTTCCTGGTTCTTAAATGTTTTTGACAATGTGTGTTTCTCTTTATAAAGTACTGAGCATGTGCCCTTAGATCATCCATGCCACCTGCTGAAATGTAACTTGCTTTATGAATTTTATTCCACAAAACTTTGATTTATGCAATGAAATGCAAAGTCTCAAAGTTAATCTCGGAAGATAAATCGTCACTTGTCAGCCGTTAATGAAGCATGCTGTCTTCGTGATAATTTGATTCATCTGTGATCACTGTTGGAGAGCAGAATATTGCTCCATTTCCCTTTTCATAAAAAATTCTTACATATCAATCAGAGACAAAATTAAAAGCATAAGTTAAAAGATAGGGATTATTCTGCTAAAATCTGCATCCCCAGACCATTTACATCATGTAATGTGCCAGAAGTAGCTTAATTTTTCCCTCTGCAAAGGAACAGAATGTTCAAACTTTGTTGTCAAGGGCAAAGAGTTGCAGTTCTCAATAATCAGTATTTCTTCCCTGGGCTGTGATGCTTTTGCACTGTAGTACGTTAGCAATCTGTAATAATGGTTGCTACAGTTTGTAGGGAAGAAGAATCCTCCTCCATGAGTGCCTTCTAATATATTTATTTATTTGTAAATCTCTCTCCTCTGTTTCAGATAGGAATATGAACATTTTGCAGTACTGTCCCACTTCTGATTCCTGGACCAACTTTGAACTTTGTGATGTCCATGTTCGCAAACAACAGATGCTCTCTGTTGAAGAAACTATATACCTGGTAGGGGGTTGTATTCATGAATTTGGACCGAATCAAAAATCCAGCCAAAGTGAGGACGTGTTAACTGTGCAGTCTTACAACATTGCTACCAAAGAATGGCTCTACCTCAAAGAGAACACATCAAAATCGGGTCTTAACTTGACTTGCACTCTCCACAATGATGGAGTCTATATATTGAGTAGGGATATTACTCTGTCTACAAACTTGGAGCACCGTGTTTTTCTTAAGTATAATATATTTACGGACAGTTGGGAGTCACTAAGACGCTTTCCAGCCTTTGGACAAAACATGCTGATCTGTTCTATGTATTTGCCTGATGTGCAAGAAGCGTAACAGCGTCAGGTTTTTCTTTTCAGCTCATTAATCATTCTTGGAAGAAGTATTGCTCCCTCTAAATAATTCCATTTTCAGAATGTAATGTGGTTGCATAACATAGGCATAAAATACTGATTCTGTTCTTTAAAAAAGCTGCAAAATCCAGTATTAAGAGAAATGCTTCCAGAAACAGTTTTAAGACTTCAGTTTAAAAATTTTATTGTTTTGGATTAAAATTTCACCAGGTATTGTTTGCAATTTAAAGATAAAATTATTGTGTCGGTAACTGATAAAAGGAATTCCAAAGGAAAAACTGATCAGTCTAGTTTTATTCTCCATCTTAATAGACAGTGTAGAAGATCAGCAAGAAGTATACATGGTAGAAGTGGGAATAATTGAATAAAGTAAATAATAGGTATAATAAAAATCACAAAGGGAATGATTTCTTTTAAAATACAGTTTTTGCTTAATATGTTCTGTCAAGTGCACAACGTTTGAAATTGTTTATGCTATCACATTTTTCTCTCTTCTACGATAACAAGCAAGATTCTCAAAGGTGCTGGAAGCTGGGCTACCATCAAGAAATAAGAACTTCCCTGAATTATTTGTAATGAAATGCTTTGCCAGGGACTGGGAGGAATTGCCTAGAGCCTTATGATTGCTGGTTGGATACTAGATGCTCCTTTAATGGAAGTTGGCAGCGTTTATTGCTACTATTAAGACAGAGGTAAGAAGGCTCTAAATTCAAATGGAGAAGTTTGCCCATCTTCAGAAAGGCTATATGTTTTAGTCACCTTGTTGTGTTCTGTAGTACTGAGTGTTGAAGATCAAATTGTAGTTGGCAACAAGCTGCGTGTTAGGAGAACGTGCATGACCACATGCAGTGGTGATTCTGCTTGATAACAGTCATCCAGAACATCCATCACTTGGTATGGAAGGGTTAATTCGTGTAACTGACTTGCTGCCAACGCCACCGAAAGCAGGTGCACATGAAGGAGTTTGATCGAGATCACCTCAAGTTTACCACTCAAAGTTGTTAGTCTCTACAAAGCACACTGTAAGACGGTCGCCGTGAATACTCCTTTGTGGGGATTCAGGAGTAGATACTCTGGGACCTTCTCCCAGTTCCTGCCTGTTGTCCAAGAGAATTATAGTCATGATTGGCCCCTTTTCTTTTTATAGCTGGGAAGTTCATAAGCATCTTCTGAAGGCACCTGCCCAGGTGTGGAATGTGTGTCCTCGTGACAAGAGAAGGAGAAGGTCTTGGTCACCGTGGGAAGGTTTCAGTGCGGCTGCCTTTAGGGAAGAGAGATGCAGGTTAGCCATGTGATGAACACATTGCAGGGATGCTGGTTCTGCAACAGCTGTTTCTCCACATGAGAAGACAAGAGATTTAATGCACCTGAACAGGATCCTAATATGTGGAGATGTCTTTTTTTTTTTTTCTTCATTGGAATTCAGGAATCTGAATCTTCTTTTGGAGATAGGTGCCGGTTGTACAACAGAGAAGGAGGCAGCAATAGTTCCATCAGGGTCATTTTAGCTCCCTGCTTTTCCATGGTTTTGAATGAAATCAGTGCTGACTAAAAGAGCTAGGTATTTTGGATGTCCAAGATTTACTTTTTGGGTAGAATTTTTGCAGCCTGGCAGAGTATGTTATGCTTCCACACAAACTAGTGTCTACCTTTCAGCTGTATGCGTGAATTAAATGAGTTAAGTCCATGTCTATGTGTTGGTGTTTATTCCTTTGAAAACACAACACATTGAGCTGCTGCTGCGTTTTGACAGCAGTATCAGACCAAACAAGGGCTATTCTGCAGTGTAAAAATAAGGTGACTTTCCTAAGATTCTTCTTTCAGAAGTGTTTTAAATAAATATAAGCAGTGTGTCATTGTATGGTGATAAATTATCTCAGTCACATTACATTACTTGGTTTCCTTCATTTCTTTTCAGTTCCAGATTCAGTACCATACAGTCATCTGTAAGTCAACTCAGATCGATACTGGTGGAGGGCGTCACACCTGAGTCGCGGCATTCTCTTGCCTAGCAAATTAACTGTGAAAACTCATCACTCCCAGATTTGCAGTATGGTATATCTAATCAAGTCCTTTCAAACCTATTCGTTTCTTAGTGCAGTCATAATTCCAAAAGCTATGATGTCATCTTTTAGGTGTGGTTACTCTTTTTCACAAGAGGCCTTTCCACAGTGGGTTTATCTGTGTGTTGGTTTCAGCCTCCAGTGATCAAGTGAGCACCTTGAAAATCTGGAGAACCTACTCAAGTGTAGAAGAGAAAGATGGCTCACTGTAAATACAGTCAGACCCTTTCCTCAATCCGTGGTGCAAATTCCTCATATACTGACATCTAACAGCACTACAATCACAAATCAAAACTGGTGTTGAATTTAGTGGTAGCACCAGACTGTAATAATCTAAATGGACTGTATTACTACAGGCTGAAATAAATATAATTTTTTTAAACAAAATTCACTACAGAAAAGTGTGCGATGTGAGTGGCACCCATACCTCAGGAAAAAACCCAAACACTGTAATGACTGTCTCATACTCTTTTCATTTTCTTTCTATCACTTTAATGTTTCACATAAGGCACTGTTGGGCAGCTTCTGCCCTTTGGGGCAAGGAAAATTGATTGAGAGTCACTAACAGAGAATAATTAAAAAGCTACTTTTTAGCCAATGGAACTGTTGTTCAGTGACTCAGTGTTCTCTCTTTATGGTGGTGGGAGGCAAAGGGTCTTTAAGTGAAGGACAAATGAGCTTCTTTTGAATGACGACAGAAGCGTAGACCAAGGGGCCTTGCAGTCTGATCAACTGGAAATTCCTGCGTTATCCTGATGTTGCCTCTAACTTAACATGTGGGCTTGGAGACATCACTCCACCTTCTTACATCTTCATCCCCAAATGTAACGTGTGAGTAGGAATGTTCATCTTGTGGGAAGACAAATGGTTTGTCTGGTGTAGTAGTGTAGTGTTTGTAAGACTTCTTGAGCATGTGAAGAAGTACATATATTCTCGCTCTTGTACATGTTTACTTGGTTATTCAAACTCCTTCCTGATGAGTGGCAGGATAGAAGACAGCTAGCAATCTCATTGTGGTCTCTGCTAATTACCTTTATTTTGAACTGATGGCTATTTGCAGTCTGTTTCTTTCTTTTTTGGGGGGGTGTCACCTAATAGACTGTAGTCCATCTAAGATTCTTAGTCTTGGTGTTCTCAAGTCTGTATCCAAATTCAAAACTGCTGCTTTCCTGCTGTGTCTGGGTTAGCCAGTGCTTACATATCCACTATTCATCTTCTCTGTCTCGTGGACCGGTTCCACTTGATCCTGACCAGCAAAAGCTGACTGGTAGAGGATGATCCCAAGTTGAAAGAAAGAACAACAGCCTCCAAAGTCCTGAGGGAGGAGTAAATGGAAAACTCTGGGAACTTAGTCCCTTCTCATAAAATAAAGAAACATTTAAGAAGGTTGCTCACATCAAGGCTAAGAGAGAGCATAATAGTTTCTTCCTTTCCGGGAATGGTTTGTGGTTTTCAATGTGAAATAAGAGTCGTGTGGGGCTTAACTTTAATCTCCCTGGCCAGTTTCTATAGGTTTCCCTTTCTGCCCTGTCGGTTGACCTTTCTTGGGCTTAATATCTGTGTTTTCCATTCTTCGAGGGTTTTGCCTTTCTACATCAGTGTCCAGCCCGTTTTGCTGAAATTATATGGTAGCAGTTTGTTGGTCTTTTCTATTTGTTAGTCTTCTTTTCACGCTGATCTGTGGCTGTCAATCACCATGATGAAAAAGTAAAGTAATTTGTAATTCAGGTAATTCATTTATTCAATTTTGGGCTTTTGGAAGAGACGTCCATGAAGCTACAAATGTTTTGTTTCATTTAATCCTCATTTTAGTGAGAAATGATGCTACAGACATTCTGATCTGCGTCAGTAATGTGATAGAGAGCGGAAGGCACAGAGTGTAATGACAACATTTAGCACGTAAAATACTCAAAGCCCTACACAAGCAGAGATTACTCATCCCTATCACCCTTGCAAGGTAAGATACATACTGTAAATGGTGTTAAAACAGAGATGATCCTTGGAGTATCTGTCAGTATGACCAATGAATTTGTAGGTGGTTACCAAGAACCCTCCTCGGGGCAGAAACCGTCAGCGTCTGTGGTACATTAGATGGATTTTGCATTTATGATGATGACCAAAGGGTGGCTCCCCATCCCCACAGTAAGTCTTAGGAACCAGAACGAATGCTGTAAGATACAGAAAGTTTAAACGTCTTTCTCTACAATATTAACACTGCCATTCTCGGAGTATGTTTTCTATCTAATCAATTTAGAGCCTATTCTGGAGTAATCTCTGTCTTTTTTTCTCCAAAAGGAGAATGGAGTTTGGAAAAGGAGTCTGGATTTTGTGAACTAATAAGGATCATGCATTCACAGCTTTAAAATTGCTATCCCAATTATATATGGTATGTGATTTTTTTTTCTCTAAAAGCATTGACATTACTAGTAAACGTATGTTGTTATATCCTATGAATATCAGTATTTTCTAAAGTTTCAGTTTCATTATTGCAATTAGAAGAGTGAAACATGTTTTGTTTCTGAAATACAAGCTTTTATAAAAGAAAAAGAATCACTTTATTTTTCTAGTGGAAGGCAGATTAGACAGTGTCCAGTTTTAGAGTATCCAGTTATACGAAGTACTGCGTATCTTCAACTCATATATGCTTCAGTAGGAGAGAAAGATGTTCAGCACCTCAGCAAATCTTTCCTGTTTGTTGGTACTTATACCATTATTTAAGATTCAGCAGTGAATGCAACCTCTCTGAATCCTCCTTCCCTCACTCCCTTTTTCAGTTGAAATTTATGATTATTTGATCTGTTGTTGATTTTCCACTCTCTGATATTTTCCAGATGTTTTTGAGGGTGTGCCTTGTGATAAGACACCCTTTATAAATAATTTTCAGAAATTAAAGTAGCTTACTCTGACTCGCCGTCTTTTG